CAATTTTACATAAAAAAACATCATGCATTGTATAGGAAAAGGAGATATGTGTGCCGTTGTTGCATATTACGATCGTTAAGCTGCCTCTATTGAAACTTTTCCCGTGCTTATGGACTTAAAGATCCCAAAATGTGTAGGATTGTTCCTTTGTGAATAGGATTATTCATTATTTCCTGTCTGCCTGTCTGGTCAGTCCACAGTTCTAAGCGTTGTAAACCCATTTACGATCTTTTTTTGGCTGCTTATAAATTAATCTTACTATTTCCATATGACCTCATTAGGTTAACTTCTCAGAAAATCCCATTATGAGTAGCTGCGTGAAGCCAGTGATGCAAAACAAGGCAAATCCGTTAGTTCTTCTGCATGGTTTTGACAGGTTCTTAAATCTGTTAAAGAATTAGTTTATCAGTTTTCTATGCTCAATAAGCCTCTGAATTTCTGAGTCGTTTGAGTGCAGCTCATGTTTAGAATGGAGATATGCATATCCATTGATGGAGGAAGCTGGTTTTGAGGCCTGGCCATTGACATTCTTGGTTGGGGTTTCTCTGATTTAGGTTTGCTTTGTACCTTCACTTACTAATTGCTTTCATCACATATTTGCCTCTCTACAAGAGATTTTTAGGGATGCTTTTTGTCTACTTTTCTTGTTATCCATCAGAAAATCTTCCATTATGCGATGTAGCATCCAAGCGCCATCATTCTATCAGGTACTTAACTTATTTTAGGTGATTTGAAGCAAAGTTGCACACTTTTTGCATCAATTTAGTCCTTAGTAATCATCGTCATTTGACTCCAAATACTTTCAAAAACCCATCAATACGGCCTATAACGGATTAAATTGATGGAGGCAAGGATCATATTGATGGGCTTTCCAAACTTAGTAGCTTCCTAACCTAATTATCTTTAAGGACTAACTCCATGAAACATGAATCTTTCGAGGACCCAAATACCTTGTCATACTGTGTTAAAGCTGAAACTGATTTATTTATGACAGTTTTGGAAGTCTTACATCAGAAGGCCAATGATATTGGTTGGACCAAGCCTTGGCTCTGCTGTTGCCATTGACTTCGCCGCCAATCATCCGGAAGCTGTATGTGTTAAAGAAAATCGTTAGATTAAGTCATTAATTTATCTGAGAATTTATCTTCTGAAACAGCTTCGTCCAATGACTCAAGTGCGCTCAGGTCAATTACTTGGAGTTCATGTTTTCAGGTGGAAAAGCTTGTTTTGATTGATTCCAGTGTATATGCAGAGGGAACAGGACCGCTAGCAACCTTACCTAGAGTGGCAGCTTATGCTGGCGTATTTCTCTTAAGCTTACTAAAGCCTTGAACACACACCACTTGTCCAATATTTTTTAAAAAGGAATAACAAAATTTTATCATATATCAAACATTCTCTAGGTGGATCAATATGTTGTGAAATCTTCATATTAGATCAGTTCAACTGAAAAACTTTGGGCCTGTTTGGCAATCTGTTCTGAGAATAGTTTTCTATTCTCCAGAATAAAAGAACAAAAAAAACCTGTTATAATGTGTTTTAAAAAGTGTTTTAAAGAACAAAAAACTAAAATATTATTCTGGAGAACAAACAAATGGAAACAACTTTCAAGTAATCTGGGATTATTGTTTTGAAGAAGAAGACAAGAAGAATGAGAAAAATACCTATTTCATTATTTTTTTGTTCTCAGAACATATTTTACAAAACACTAATGCTCAAAACAATAAAATAAAAACAGTTTTAAACAGCCTCTTTCACTCTTAATTTCAACTGAGATAGGAGCAGTAAATATTAAACTTTCCACCAGTTAGTTATAAAGACTGTCAAGAACCATATTAACACAAACGTCTAATCCATTAAGGTATATGTAAACATATACATTATTATACAGATCATCACCTTTCTTTTGACTCAGGTATACTTATTGAAGAGCATTCCTTTGCGCTTATATGCGACCTATTTGACCTTCTCTGACGTATCATTTAGTACCAGTCTCGACTTGGCTAGTGTGAGTTTCTTTATGCAATGTTATAGATTTCTTTATGCATTTTGAATATCTTCATTGGGCCATTTTCTTGTGCTCAATCTTCACATGCTCAAGTTCCCCAAACTTTCAGTATAGGAAATATGATTTGGATCTTCTAAAAGTGTGAAACTTATAGTGTCCTTTGAAGATAGAGTGACACTTAAATGAGTGAGAGAATGTATGGAACTCACATCTTTGATTTTAACACTCTTCTTCTTGACTTCTTTTATCTCTATCTCTCTCACTTCAGAAACAATTCATAAACTTCTCAGTTCAGAATATCCAAATCCATAGGAAATAGGATGGACACCAGTCTTAGTTGGAAACTTCCTATTTATGTTGTAACATTTTTAGGAGTGCAAAACTTCTTGTACACTTGATCATTTTAGATTGATGTTGCTAACATAGGTGGGTCGCTTGCATTGCTTAATGCCTTGGTGGGAGGATGCTACAGTGGATTTCATGGCTAGTGGCGGTTATAATGTCGCTTCTCTGATAAAAGAGGTACATCTGCTGCAACTTGAGTTGAACAAGTTCACTTTACATAGTCGCAGGCATGTGCAGATGAGAGCTCTCCTTTCACTGTATATCTTCACTTGCTTTCTGCTTCGTGCTATGATGCTAGTTATTTTGATTTAACAGGTAAAGCACAAAACTCTCATCCTTTGGGGTGAGAATGATCGCATCATCAGCAATAGGCTTGCAGTGGTAAATTATCATTTAGCGCCCGCTCTCTCTCTCTGCATGCACACGTGTGTGCACACAGAATTATCCAATGTCTTATATTGTTAGGTTGGATTTGAGTATTGTTGAGCTCAATTAGGCATAACATGTGTTGAACCCAAAATCCATGATCATGAGGCATGATTGCCTCTAATGCACTTGATGCTGTTATTGGAACCAAAGTTGACTCATGAACTATTTGACCTTGCAGCGACTGCATTCTGAGTTACCTGATGCAATTATACGCCAGATCCCCAGCTGTGGCCATCTACCTCATCTTGAAAGCCCCAGTTCAGTTGTTAATTGATTCTTGAGTTTGTTCAGAAAGAAACCAGCTAGGTAAATCACTGTGTTTCACGTTAGAAGGTGCTTAGAGGGCTTTCTCTAACTATTTTTTGTATTTGTTCTTGCTTCGGGCTCTGAAAGATAGGAACAATAGAGCTGATCACAGAAGTTAAAAATGGGTTAGTGATAGTTATGGCTTATTGTTAGTAATAGTTATGGTAGAGCGTAATGGTGTAGTGCAATCCATATAGCTGATCTCACCTAATGAGATAAGACTTGTTGTTGTTGTAATAGCTATGGCTCTATAATTGTTTGTGGAAGCCTATGTTTATATGAACTGGACATTTCTGTTCTGGATCTTAATGTGATATTAAATTCTACCACTCGGCCCAAAAGAGAAAATAATTGCTGAATCTGAATGTGATTGATTTTGAGCGATTATTTTTCTTACTGGTTTCATCATGAACTTGTCGAGAGTGACATTTGAAAGCAATCCCTCATGGATAATGTGGATGTTGTGTCAACAACTGAACAATGTTATTGCCATTATTAGGTTGGGATAGCGAAACTTACAGATTGGTCCGGTCTGCTTTTTGATTTATTGGTTTCTTTTTTTTTTTAAAGAAAAAAAACACATAAACATGCGTTTTTGTAGGATGATGAGGAAATTTTACCTAAATTCACTGTATCAAATATAGATAGATTAATTAAACCATAAATAAGTATAATAAAATCTAACTAAAAAATGTGTCTCTGTGTATATTTATTTAGAATTTATAATTGCAGTGACTTATGTTTAATAAGTCAAGTGTTTCAAGTAAAAATTACTACTCTCCCTGTAATGGAGGAGAGGAGGAATCACGCAAAGCTTCCAGAGAGAGGATGGTACAATTATTTGGGCAACAGTATTTTATTGGTGACAAAATTATTGTTGATTCACCTTGTTTCAAAAAAGTACGTGATGGAATATTTGCTTTCTTTTTATAAAAAAATTATGACCGAAGTTTATTTTAAAAAATGTTTATGATATACTTTATATTTTATAATTATAATTATAATTGAAAGATCCAAAAAATTAAATAAAAATTTTATTTATAAATTGTTTTCTTGACAAATCTCAACCATTAGGAAGCTTATTTAGATTAGCTTGAATGATTCTAAGTTGGTTGAGGCACTTGCTTTATTGATGCTAAGGATAACTTTAAATATAGTTAAAATAATATGTCATGCACAATGCATAATAAAAAAAATCATTTGTTTTTTTTATAATTTTGATTTAATTAAAGTTCATTCTTTGAATATTAATTTAGTTTAATTCTCAGTTTTAAATCGATTGAAATTCATTGATGCAACTCAATTTTTACAACTTTAATCATTTAATGCCAGTCTCTATATCCTTAAAAATAAAATTATAAAATTAAAGTTAGTTTTTTTAAATTTAGGCATTAATATTTTTTTTAAATTTAAGGACTAATATTTTAAATGCCTAAAACTCTTACATAAAACATGAGAAAGTGATTGTACATAGAAAGAATTTGAAGATAATAATACTTCCCGATGTAATCTTTTATCTTATTACACGGGAACAAAATCATTTGATGGTCTTATAATTAGTTAAAAAAAATGTTCATGTCAAATTGTCCCATTGTCAATCGAATCATGCCATCATAAGTATTCATATCTATCTACTTTCGGGAGTCATATCAAGCTCCAAGTATCACCACTGAATAAGAACCAAATTCTCTCACCTTTTTCCCCCACGGAAAGAAGAGGAAGGAAACCAACAAACAAACCCAAGTGGGGTTTTCTTCTCGATGATTCCTTATATAATTTTACATGATTACCCCTCATATCGTGGCTAAATACCATCCGCGCACCACTCCTCTCCCACACTCTACTAGTTGTTCCAAGTTTACATTCTTATATATACCAGTCAAATTAAACCCTAATGATGAACATTAACCAGAAGATAAGAAGGGATAATGGTAATGGAAACACTGTGGATTGCAGAAGAGCTACTCCTTTGCTGTCATTGAAGCTTGTTCCTGTCCCAGTTGTTGTGGCCGTAGGACTTATCCCAAACGTAGGACTTGATGTCCCTGTTCCTGTGCCAGTGGTTGTCCCTGCAGTTGTGGATGTGGGTGTGGTTGAGGTTGTAGTGGAAGGTGTTGTGCCTGTTATCCCAGTTGTCGGCGATGTTGATGGTGTTGTCGTTGTGCCTGTTCCTGTGCTAGTACTACTGTAACAAGAAGAGATTTCAAATCATCATTTCAACATATAAAACCAAATCATGTTAGAAATTATGCAGAAAATAGACACTTTAGATGGAGGAAAATAGTTGTTTGATGATATAATCCTTCACATGCACACATACAGACACACACACACACACACACACAACTATCTGAATAGGTCAGGCCCAATTAAGGTAGCTCTTTCAAAAACCGTTTTTTTGCATTTACCCATTATTCTAGGATGTAATGATATGATCCTTTTCAAACACCCCCACATGAGCACTTCACTTATTGCAGTGTTTGGCTAGGTTGTGCTGGTGTTGATGCTTCCTAGAGTACAGGGATGAAACAGCCATTTGATTATTAGGCACAGATCCGGGACTGGGATCAACTTGTGGGGAACAAGAGGACAAGTTAATTTTGCAGGAACAGAATTCTGATTCTGGGGAGGTAATAGATAGGGACTTAAACCAAGAATATAGCTCTTGGCTAATTGTGAAAGTTACTTGCAACTTGGAAGAACTGAACATGGTCAGTAAGTTTAGCTCTGATATCTTATTTGTAGATGGCACTCACTGTCACTGTGAGTGTAAAGAAAATAGATAAATATAAAGCTGCACCTAAATGACCTAAAAGAAAAGAGAACAAGTTGGCTGCTTGAAAAGGAAGAGTCAACAGAAAAATCTGATTAATGCAATGGAGAAAGAGCAATCAAACCAACAAGATCTCCCACCTTTCACACACACGCACACACAAATTCTTCCAAATTCAGACAATTCACACAATTCAATGGATGGGGGAAAATATTGATAAAGATCCAAAGTCAAGAAGCGTACCTAGCACTTGAAGGGAAAACACATCCAGAAGATGAAGCTATGGATCAACAACAAAAGCACACAACAAAGAGAGAGAGAGAGAGAGAGTAGATCCATATCAGTAACAGTGAGAGTCCAAAATGCAGGTGGGTTAGAAGAAGAAGAAGATGATGATGATGATGATGATGATGAGTGCTAACCAGGAGCAGTTTGAGAGGCAGTAGCAGTGCCAGCAAAGTCACAGCTTCCCTGAGCTTGACCTCTTTTCTGGAAGTAGCTATTAACAGCGTAGCTGCAGTGATCCTTCACAGTGTTAGGTTGGTAACAAGCACCATTCTGAAGAATAGGAGTACAGTCAGCTCCAGCTCCACAAGCATAATCCAGAGCTTTCTGAAGAGCTTGATCGCCCACACCATCCTTGCACACACAATATAGAGCACCTATTGTTGAAAAACCAGCAAATCAGTTAGTTTACACCAGATACTGCATGAATCGTCAGAGCTTCTTGAATTGAAGTCTTTCATCAGTTAAACGAAGCAAGAGGCAGAAGACACTCGGTACAGAAAACCCATTTCATCATCTCAAGCTTAAAGAGAGAAAATCTGAAGAACCCATCATGATCAGAAGAACTCTATTTAACCAAATGTGGAAAATCTGAAATACGCAAGTGGGAATCAAGATGCTTACTTGAGTGACCAGTGAGAGCCAAGAGAAGCACAAAATACAGCAAAAGAACCATGATTGATGATTCTAACCAGTGAATATTGCAGACTTTCGCGGGTATTGTTGCAGGTGATGGGGGGAGAGAGAAACAGAGAGACAGAGAGAGGAAAAAGAGAAGGTATGAAGATAGAGGCTTCTCGAGAAGAAAGGTAGAGTGAGTCTGGCGGAAGGGGTGTCGGTATCTGATGCGCTTTGTAATTCCTGCTCATTTATTTTACGACAGGACCTTTAACTTAAAAAAGGAGATTAACATTTTTGCAAATCATTGGACTCTTTGCATTGTTTAAAAGAAATTAAAAAGGTGGGAAGAAAGATCATTTTCAGCTTTTTATATACGCTTAGGCACGATGTTAACATTGTCAGATGTTAACATTGTATGGACCACAAACAGCACTAGCTCATTAGCGCCAGAGTGTTGCTAAACAAGGAAATGTATTCGGAGCGGGTCAGGTGGATCAGTGAGAGGCGGCGTGGAGGGGACACAGTCTTTCTTTTATATACATAAACATTTATATGGTTGTCTAAATTGATTTGAGTATTATCGAATTTAATTAGGAGTCATTTTTATTGAATGTATTTTTTATATTCACAGAATTAAAACTCACCATATTTAAGCGACCTTAAACCCTTTCACTATGGCCAACTTGTTTTGATTACACTGTGTCTCTCTCTCTCTCTATGTATATTAGTTAGCACATATATATACTTCTTTTAAACTATAATATAAAATTTTTTTAAAAATTTTACCTGATCCAAAATATATAACATTAAATAATTCTTATATTTATTTTTCAATCATACTCTTACTTTATTTATTCCTCTTTTTTAAAAAAATTATGTATTAAAATTTTAATTACTATTATCAAAACTTTTATATAAGGTATTTAATGAGGATATAAATAAAAAATGTAAATATTTTTAAAGATTTAAGATTTCAACTAATATTATAATAAACCGTTAATTAATTAATTATAATTTATATTGTGGTTTAAAGGAATCTATGTATATATATATTTATTTCTTTTTTTTAATACAAATACAAGTATGTATATATATATATATACATTTCAATTATACAGTAATGTCACTTTCAAAACAGGCCAATGTGTTTAGGTACCCGAAATTAAGGTGGTTTGGAATGGCAAATTGCCCCTGAAAGGATGAACGACCGGTTCGGTGGGTGTGGGTCCTTCTTTTTAGTTTCACACACACACACACACACTTTTAGTTTCTCACACACACACGCGTACACTCTCTCTCTCTCACACACATTAAAGCATGGAATAATAATATTAATATGGAAAAATTGTTCAAAAAGACATGACCAAATTTGAATTTGTTGAGAAGGACTTGGAATTTGAGGAAGGATTGAGATCTAGTGACATCAAATAGAACGATCAAAAGATTAAAATGCTCTTGATTGAAATGTATGAAGGGATAAATGATTAAATTACCTTTAGCAAATTCTCTCCCTCCCCTGCTCCCATCCGATGAGATTTCTCGTAGCATATTGTCCTAGCCCATCATGATTCCGCTAGTGATGGAGACAATGATGAATAAGGTAAGGTTGGTGTTGATCCGCGATTCTCACCTATGCTCCCTCTTTGACTCTTATTTTTATCATGCACCGCCTACTTTAAATCAGAAACCTTAAAATATGTTTATTAGATCATCACTCCCCACTTCATTTATCATCGTTGCTCTTTCTTCTCCAAGTATCATCCTTTATCGTGTAGGGGTTTACAACGAGTTTTTCTATTTACTGAATGAGTATCCCCCCCCCCAAATGTGATGCTTGATAATTCAGGAAATTCCTCCATCTTGATCTTGGGTTTGGTAATGAATCTGGTTCTTTTCTTTTTAAGTTTTAAATTGAATAAGTAGTATAGCCTGTTTGATTCCATGGATAAGTAGTTAAATATAAGATTATGATGGGTGAGAGTCGCAAATTTTGTCTTGATTCTTTTTCTCCTTATAGCACGAACTGTGTTCAGTTTACAATTGATTTTGCTATATCATATGATTTTAGTTTTGGCCAACACATCTATATGAGGAGCCCTATGAACCTAATGTATGGAGATCAAATAATTGAGTTTGGAAGAAGATAGTAAAGAATTGGGTGAAGCTAAACGTGATTTGGCTGAGATTTATGTTGTGGTTTTGAATTTCAAGGAGGCACTGCATTATTGTATTGTATGAATGCACTGAAGATACGTAAGAAGCAATTGGGGAATAATTCTGTGAAGGTTGCACATGAAGGAGCTGAATGCCTTAAAGTCTCTCCAGGTCTGATCTTCACTACCGGGAAAGGGCAGCACCACATGAAAAACAAGCACCGATTGAGGAGAAGCTGGGGAACATGAGTGGATTGAGTTTGACAAGCAAGCACTTGCGCCTAATTAAAAGTGTCTGCAAACAATGTCTAGATTCTTGTATTATCTTATTGTAATGTAACATAGTTTATGTTGTTAATAGATGTAAAAACACATTATTGTTTAATGATAAATGTATTTTTTAGTGTTCAATTATTGTTCTTTATGATTTAAGTTGATGTAATTAAACTTTACATATAAAAATAGTGATTATTAAGAATATCCTTTGATATTTATATGAAAAATGAGTAAATTTTTAAAATATTTATTTGTATTTTTAGAATATTTTTTGGTATTTTCATGAAAAATAAGTAATTTTTTAGAATATTTATTTGCATTTTTAGAATATTCTTTAATGTATTCATACAAAAATAAGTAAATTTTTAGAATAACCATATGCGTTTTTAAAATATCCTATGGTATTTTCATAAAAAAATGAGTATATTTTCATAATAACCATTTGAGTTTTCAAAATATACTTTGGTGTTTTCATGAAAAAAGAAAAAATCTTTTGAATATGCATTTGTAATATTATGAAAAAAATATTGGTATAATATTCAAACTTTAAGTTCTAAACTATATTCGAATATACATTTTGGATATTCTGAAAATATAATTTAGTTTTTCTTTATTTAAATAATCATTTTTGATATTATGAAAATTTACATTTAGTGTTATGTTTTAGGATTATATGCGGTACTTTTAAAGATATGTTACTCTTTTTCACGGTATATAATCACCATTCAAAGAAATGTAATTTTTCTTTCATTTATTTAAATAACCATTTTGAATATTTTAAAAATTTATACTTGATGTCATGTTGTAAGACTATATGCAGATATCTTCAATTATATGCAACTCTTTTTTCATGATATGCAACCATCCTTCAAAGTAATGTAATTTTTCTTTTGTTTATATGAATATGCATTTATGATATTTGAGTATATGGAAGAAAATTACATTTCATTGAATAGCAGTTACATTATGGAAAAAAGCATCACATATGCATCCAAAGGTGTTCATAAGTAATTAATTGGAAGTATATGGAAGAAAATTGCATTTCATTTACATTTAGTGTTATGTCCATTAATTACTCTTAGGTTCATTAACAGTTGAGCTTAAGAGAATGACAACATATTATTGTCATTATTCTAAAATTAATTGTCAATAGACCTGAGAGTAATTAATTGTGTTGAATGTAGTTCTCTCGAAAAAAATATTGACAATAGTTGAAGAACTTTTAAACAAAATTAATAATTCAAACTATATTAGTTAAAAAATACTACACTACTAGAGTTGTACGGCTTAATAAATATTGAATACCATATAGTTACACAAAAAAAAAGAGATAAATAATACAACAATTATAGACAAGGACTCAAAAAATTACAAAAAGGATAGAGAAATTTTATTGGTCATTTCCCATGATTTTTGATGTCTTTGTTGTTATTTTTTTGCTTAACTAATGATAAAAGTTAACATTTGTTAACCGTATAGGTCTCATTACATTATTTTTAAGAGGTTAAGGGGAATATTGCATCAAAAATAATTTTAAAGTATCAAACACTCCTACACTTATAGTGAAAAGTCAACTTATTCTTTCACCTAATCAATTTTAGTTAAAGGTTCTAAAGATGATGTGTCTATCATGTGACAGTGATGTTTAATAAGGTCATAAAAATTGATCAAAGTTGATAGTAAGTATAAAAATTAGTCCCTTGATGAAAAAACTACGTGAAATTTTACCTAAATTGACCAAAAGTTTAGGAACCAAAATCTATGTTCGTACTAAATTATATCCTCTTTAGTTCTAAAATTAAGACAAAGTTAATTAATTAATGGAGATTAAAAATTGATAAAGTTGATTATTTATTAGTATTTATTAAAAAATGACATTTTTCCTAGGATACTCTGGATGAGAAAGAGCACTAAATTTAGAAGACAAGGAGAGTGAGGAAATTGTGAAATTAACAAGCATAATTTAGAAAAAATATATATATATTAAATGAGAAAAAAAAAACAAAGAAGATTGAGATCCTATATCTAAGATCAAAATAAATCCTCAACCAAGTCTTGCATTTTGAGTGGGAGGGAATATAATGAGTATATTTAATGAATGAAATGGGCATACATATGATATATATTTTTTCAAATTTGTTATCACTAATTTAAATTTTAGCTGTGCCTCCGAGTTTGTTAACCTTGTTTGTGTAGTTTAGATTAGCACAGTGGGTGCTAATAAGAGTCTTAGGCAGCATAACGTGCATTGATGATTATGAGCAATGATGAGAACGTAGACTCAAATATCAATTTTAGTAATAACGCACTGTATTATTAACTTTCAAGCACTTTAGAAGGAATAACGAACATTTTGGCTTTTAGACGAGAGAGGTAAGAGAAACAAGCAAATATGGGCGTATCACATTCTGTGGTTGCTTTTACATCACTTTTTATCTGTTTGTCTCCAGAGTGTTGTAAATGGTGGGGTTTTGAAATTCCATGGAACCTCCAAGACAAAATGCTCCCTCCGCCCCAGATATAAGATATATATATATATATATATATATTAATAAAGTTTGCTAAATAATTAAATATATTTTACAATTTTATTCTTTCAAGATAAAAATATAGTGTTTTATATTTGAAATGTTGAACTTTTTTTTAAAAGTATGTTATAATTTAAGATAGAAATAGTAATTAGACCACCCTTATCCATAAGCTTCTTCAGTATTAAACATAGAGTCAATAAGAGATGTTTAAATTATTAATATGATTTTATTGCATAAAATTAATATGAGTAATAGAGGTTCTTATTATTCAAGTAAGAGTTTA